TCTGGTTTCACCTTGGTCGACGAGTTTCACCTTGATTATGTCTTTAAGAGATTTGGCAGCCTGGATGGATGCTTCCAAAGTAGTTGCTATTTTACCATTGGACCGAAATTTGTTGGTAATCCATTAGAAAATCTTTCTATAGTAGAGATTTCAGTAAGAACCATGTAAGGAACTAATTTCATATTCCCAGTAAAAGTTGCAACGTACTTCCACAAGGAAGTCATCCCATTACATCTTCCTTGCTTCTCCTTTTGGCATGGTATTAGCCAACCGTTTCCACTAGCTCAATACTCTAGTCTTTAGCTGAAGATTGTTTTCCATTTGTTGCTACACTCACAACTTTCAAACAACATTTCCATTTCATAGATCCAATCCATAATTGTCATTGTTGTTGGTTCCCCGGAAAGACTTGGTGGTTGGGAAGCCATGAACTCCTCAAACATGCATACATTTATGTTAACATCTTCTTCAATGTTGTTTCTCCGAACCCTTCATGGTTTCGTTTTGATTTATAGCTTTACTATAACTACCTTATTCGGGCTAAACTTCATTTAGCACTGTTTCAACAATCGTGCCATGACTTTTCTCCTATTCTCTTGGAGCAATTTTCTGGTCTCTTCCATTTTCTCGCCTAGCATTTCCCGTATCATGGCTTGAAATCCTGCCATCGTGATCAATTCAGGTGCTGGCATAACTTCTAGTGCACTCTCGATCGTATGTTGAGGTTCAGGCTGTTAATCTCCGTTACCATTTCCTAGTCTGCTACATGTTCTCACCATGATGTTATGTACCTCAGGACCATCATTCAGTGTACCGAAATATTGAGTATATTATGATAAGGAAGGTTTTAATTACGTTATAGGGCTATGTGATCCTAACCGTCAGAAACCAATTGTGTACAAAACATTGTTCTCAAAAGTAGAAATCATACAGTATATCAAAGTGTCTCAAATAAGTATCATCAAAACCAAGAGGATGTGCACAATCACGCCTTTGCTTTCCAACGATCATCTAAAGTACCTGAAACATAAAATTGTAACTGTAAGCCAAAGCTTAGTGAGTTTCCCCACAGTAGCACACACAACCAAAACATAAACAATCATGCATGCTAGGTCCAATCAATCATCGGACTGGTATACCCCCAGGTTCATAGCCATCGTGCTGGTTTACCCCCAACCCAATAAGTCATCGAACTGGCATACCCTCGTGTCTACAGCCATCGGGTTGGATTACCCTCGTTCTGTTGGCTCACACATATAGCAGTAAAGCCTCAACCCAAAATTATACTATGCTGACATATGCAACAGATAAACACATCAATAGTCAACATGCAACAGCCAGATCTACAGATTACTACCATATAGCAATATCCTATATACTAGGCTATAGATCTAACATATCACTACAACATAACGATATCCTATAAAGCAGAATACATAACCTAGTGGGCTGACATTGGTGCCTTCGACCCACAAGTACAATGAGGAAAACTCACCTCTTAGTTTGAACAGATAGCTGAAAAGGTTAGTGCTCCGAATATCAACTCTACCTGTCACCTATGCATCAAAATACCCAAAATACCTTTAGGTCAAACTTGGTCAAAATACCAGTAAAAGTCAAAAGTCAAAAATTCAACCGAGTCAACTCAGGTTGAGTACTCCCAGGGTACTCATCTTGTACGCTTAGCGTACTCTAGTCTTTACAAGAAATGGGGTTGTTAACCTCGTACGTGCAGCGTACCCCGGGTACGCCCAATGTACGCATTTGCCTCCTTTCCATTCTATTAAGAGCTTAATTCCTTAAGCTCTTTTGTCCAAAATCCAGATCCGGTCCTCAAATGATGTCCTTAACAATAAAGTTTCCAACTTTATGGTCTTGCATGGATATTAAGTGCTCAATACTAAAAACCTTAACTTCTTAACTTATTAAGACATCCTAGTTCATGCATGGAAGGAAACTAATGCCCAAGGTTACATTTTTATGATTCTAAACACTCCAAAACATTTGAAAGGACAACTCATATGAATTAGAGTAACCCATACTCATAATACCAAGCTTATGGGACCAAAAGAACATAAATACATGGCTAATCAAGATCTAAACAAAACTTCATTAAGATCAAAGCTTTTTACCTCCAAGTGGTGTCAAATGATGATGTGATTATGGATCCAAAGTGTTTCACTCTTATAATATGGTCTATTCTTCCTTCTTCCTCCTTCAAGATCACCAAAATACACATTGCAGGCTCAAAGATGCTCTAGAAATGAATTAGGGTTTGCAAGTGTCGAATATGAGGTTGGAGGCTGATGAATGAAGAGGTCTAAGGAGATAAGGATGTTTAAACAGGATCCAAACCCTAAAAATTAGAGTTTGCATCCTAGCCACATACGCCCAACGTACGGATGCAATCTTCAAAAATTACAGAAATGCCACCCGGGTCCAAATTTGCAAACAATACTCTAACCAAGGGTAAAAATGTAAAATACCTGAAAATCGAGATGTTACAAATTAGTGGTAACTTACTATAAGGTATGACCGTATATGATAATATGTTATTAGCAATATCATTCTAAAATGACTCTTGGGCATACTAGATCTTTCAAGAGCAACCAATGTGTTTTTTTATCAACCCGTGACGATCTCAGTTATTTGTGGAATGTAAGATTCGACATGTTAAATTTTATGGCTTGAAATATTTTGGTTGTTTGGCACATTTCAAAAAATTTAGGTTCACACATAAAGAAGTTAGATGATTGAAATGAGCAAATTAATTATCTTAGGTTCGAAGACCCATGCAAAAGGAATATGCGGATAAGCTAAGATGTATCATAAAAGGAGGAAGAAATGTCACTTCAGCAAAAGGTTTTTGCTAAGAAAATTTTGCAGGAGTTTGGTATTAAAGTTTTCATACCAACAGTTTGTCCTATTAATCTAAAACTAAAACTTGAGAAAGATGAAGATAGAGTATTTGCTGTTTGGTCAGATAGTGAGTTAGTCAGGATGTCATGGTGTGTAAAACATTAGTGGAATGTTTTTTTTTTATCTTGGGGAAAACTTTATCACATGGCAAGCACAAAGGACCGTGATGTTGTTATCTTGTGAATTGGAGTTTATGGCGGCAAAGGCGGTAATCCATGGAAGAAAGAAATACATTAGTACGAAGTTCCATTTCAAGGTACCAAGGACCGGTTAAAACCCTTTATTGACGACAATGTGACAATCCTATTTATGAAGCTAGTAGTAATCCACAAAAGAAAGGAGTACATCATTATGGAGTTCCATTTCATGGAATGCATAGACGAGTAGCAAATTACTATAAAGTTTTTTGAAGGAGAAAAAGGCATATATATATATATATATATATATATATATATATATATATATATATATATATATATATATATATATATCACAATAGATTTTACGCATGCAAAGAATGGAGATGTGAAATGTACTCGACGTAACGGATACCTACTTTGGTCCGGTTTTAAGATGGAATGTGATATTTAAACTAAATGGATAGTTGGGCAATATATAAGGATAGTTGGATAGCTAGACGGAATATCAGAATAATCGGATAGCTGGAAGATATTGGATAAAAAGAATTAGAGTAGCTTTCTCGAATAAAATAATGTCCAACCCTTGTCAAAATATTTTTGGTTGACAACCAAAATCCATCCATGTTTTTTGGATATTTGTCTAGATATGTTTTGTATTTAAATAATGGTAGTATGCTTTGGTGTAAAGTCCCTTGCCATTTTAGTTAATAGTAAAGTTAGACTATTAATATGAGTACGTCTCAAGATTATAAAATATCCAAATTGTAAACGTTTCTTTCATTTAGTAGAGTAATATTTTAGTAAATTGTCTCCAGTTTTACATTTTCTTTTGGTATATCTTTAAGTCTTTGCAATCCCTTTTCTTTATGACTTTTTATATTTGGTTTTTTTCTAGCTTCTTACTAGTTGTGCTTTATAATATGATTATTCACAAAAAAATATTTAAGTCCTCGTTTATTTATAGCTTCTAAACACAAGTTACGAGCATTTAATTCACTCTTTATTATAGTATACAATATTTGATCCTATAAATTCCAAGATAAGCACATGGATTAGTTATGCACAAATAAGAAAGTTTGAGCTTTGTAGAAAGGAATACAAGAAGTGAAGCTGTAAAGTACCAAAGTTAATCAATGACAGCATCTTTTTCAACCATTTGTTCAAGTACAATGTTTCACATAGAAAAATGTTGGAAATGAATGACCTTTCCTTCCGATATACTATCTTTAAGTTTTTGTTTTTTATTTATAGATAAACACAGTTCATGAGCACGTATTTCACTCTTCATTTTAACATATAACATTCGATCCTATAAATTCCAAAGACAAAGCATATAGATTAGTTGTGTAGAAATAAGAAAGTTAGAGCTTTGTAGAAAGGAGTACACGAAGTGAAGTTGTTAAATACCTAAGTTAATCAATGTCATCATCTTTTTCAACCATTCTAACAAATACAATTTTTTACATACATCTTTTTCAACTATTCAAATACAATTTTTTACATACAGAATGCTAGAATCGAGTTACATTTTGTATAGAAGAAAAAAAAAATCAGACATCAAAATCCAAAGATAAAGCAAATGGATTAGTTATGTAGAAATAAAAATTACTTAAATATCAAAGTTAATCAATATCATCATCTTTTTCGACCATTCAATCATTCATACACATACAATTTTTTACATACGTCATTTTCAGTGTTATTTTATAGAAGAAATAAAAAAAAATCAGGCAAGGCGCCAATAGATTTGGTGGCTGTGGGGTTCGAACCCACGCGCACTTATGTGCAGAAGATCTTAAGTCTTCCCCCTTAACCACTCGGGCAAACCACCTTCTTGTCTATTTTCTTCTTGATAATTTATTAATTCGACAGAAGTTAAAATAGAAGCATCCAGAACTCCAAGTGTCATCTTCTCACGTCTATAAACTCTTTTGCTCCGTTCTCATGGCTCTCCTCTTTCTGCACATAAAACCGAAACCCTAGTGCGAGCTAGGAAAAACGAAGAAGATCCTGTTCCTGATTTGCTCATCCATGGCGGAGCATTTAGCGTCGATCTTCGGGACGGAGAAGGACAGAGTCAATTGTCCATTTTACTTCAAGATTGGAGCCTGTAGGCATGGCGATCGATGTTCCAGGCTCCACACAAAACCTAGCATTAGTCCTACATTGTTACTGTCTAACATGTACCAGCGCCCTGATATGATCACTCCTGGCGTCGATGCTCAAGGACATCCAATCGATCCTCGAAAAATCCAAGATCACTTCGAGGTACTTTAACTTTTCCCGCGTTTTTATCTGTTTCAATCGAAACATTTTGTATTTAATCTGAAATTTGTTACTGGATTCTCACATGTCACATCGTGTTATTATATTACCAATTGCACGGTGTACTATTATTTTATTTCTGGCATTGTTGCTCAATTGATTTCCCAACGATTTTAATCTGATTAGCAAGTTTTGCTACATGCCTTTTAAGATCAATAGTAATTATGAAGGTCGAAAGTAAACCAATAGACATCAAAAGTCGATCTATTGCAGGTTTTGAGTTTGTTGCAGTGCATATGTTCATGTGCAGGATGTTGATCTTCCTATAGTCAAATTAACCTGTTTATTTTAGTTTTCAACATGATTGAGTTATCAATTAAACTTATTTCAGGATTTCTATGAAGATCTCTTCGAGGAGCTGAACAAGTATGGGGAAATCGAAAGCTTGAATGTTTGTGACAACCTTGCTGACCACATGGTAAATCTCTCACCCTACCCAATACACACCTTACATCTCCTTAAACATCTTCTAATAATCCTTTGATTCCTTTCTCTTATCAGGTGGGAAATGTATATGTTCAGTTTAGGGAAGAAGAATACGCTGCAAAAGCCCTCAAGAATCTCACTGGAAGATACTACGCAGGTATGCTCGTCTTTTTCATTTCTCACATCAAAATCTTTCAACCATAACACCTCTTATGTCATACAAACACCTCTAAAAGACTTAAAACCACTCTTCAGGTCGACCCATCATTGTTGACTTCTCACCTGTGACTGATTTCCGGGAAGCAACCTGCAGACAATATGAAGAAAACACCTGCAATCGTGGTGGATACTGCAACTTCATGCATCTAAAAAGAATTGGCAGGTTATTCATATGATCATATGATTCATAATTTCATATCCTCTCTCTCAAACAGTCTTTCATTCTTCTGAGTTCTGACATTTTGCTTTTCTTAGGGAATTGAGGAGAGAACTGTTTGGTAGGTATAGAAGAAGGCATAGTCGGAGTAGAAGTAGGAGTAGAAGCCCATACAGACATCGAAGCTATGAAGAGCGAGGGCATTCTGGTCATTCTCATAGCAGAAGATATGATGACAGGGATAGAGACAGGGATTACTACCATGAGAGAGGGTCAAGAAGGCATAGGAGCACAAGCCCTCTTCATAGGAGACAACTTAGTCCTGTTAGGGAAGGTAGTGAAGAAAGGCGTGCAAAAATTGAGGAATGGAATAGGAAAAGGGAAGAAGCAGCAAAAGTCAACATGGTCAATGATGATGATAACCATGGGTACTATAATCACCAGTTGGAGGATTATGAGCATTGAATTACTTCTGTTTGTTTTTCTGGTTAGTTTTTTTTTTCCTTCCTTTTAACTGTCATTTTTGTATGCATACATGTTTGTGATTTTGCAGTTAGGTTCAGTGTGATAGGAACTCTTCAAAGCTAGGTGATATGTTTTTACATATTCTTGAGATTTGCATCTAAGAAATAAATCTCTTACTATTAAATTTTGTTACAGGGATTTGCATATGAATGGAGTCTACACCCAACATGTAATGAGGTTAGGGATGATTGAGTATTAGTTAAGTTGGTGAAGATTTCTGCCCAATTTGAAAGCAGTGATTTGGTTTTATTTGGTGTTATTGAATCTTGTAGTTTGATGCAAAAATGTATTATGATATTAAGCAGGGTTAATGATTTCTTCTGAAACAAGTGCTTTATGAGTAAAGATTATTTTTAATTACTTGCAAGTTTGTGTTTGTAACAAGGGTGCTTAATGAGTAAAGTCTTTTTTTTTACTTGTTTGAATGAGATTAAGAATAAATTATCATTTTATATTTGTACATAAAAGTGGGTTTTTGACATATAGCATTGAAAATACCTTACGGGTAGTCTTTTATCGGATACGAAATTCAATGGCTTTTTATCTTTATATGAGTGTACGTTTTCCTCTTAAATTGTATCTCAATATTGAGGCAATTAGTTAGGAGGAGGGATTCATTTTTTTTTCTTTCTTTTTTCTTCTATCTTTTTCAACTTAAAACACATGGAAACTCATCTTTTCAGCTCATTCAATTTTTAATTTTAAAATAAACACAAACTAATAAAATCATACAACAAAAATTAAAAACATATAAAACTAATTTACAAACTATTTCAAAAACATATAAAGCTATTTTAATACAAGTCTCAAGGCAAAATGTATAAATGGTCATTGCATCAGAGTCTAGAGAGAGGAAGCAGCCGGCTACGATTCCCTTCTCCCTTACATGTCACCAGCCCTTACCTGCTGATGAGGGATTCGCATCTTGGAGGTATGGACGGTACCTCCCCCAACCCACATACGATTCCCTTCTCCCTTACATGTCAATCTGCAACTGCCAACACTGCAAGCGATTACAAGGGTGAGCATGGATAGCGGGTACCCGCTTTAGAAACCGGAACCGAGGTTACTGTTCCCCTTTCTAAAAGTGAGAACCGCCAAGGACCGGTTCCGGTATCCATTTTTTAGGAACCGTCAACTGTCGAGTAACCGTCAAAACCGGATCCAAAATATTAAAATTTAAAAATAGTTAATACTTAAACGAATTTGCCGTAACAATGTTGATGATTAAGATGAGACTATCTAATTGGATCTTTGAGGTAACATGCTAATAAGTTATATTTGTAAAAAAAGAATTTCAAAACAAATGCTCTAACGTGAATGTGAATGCATGACAGTAAAACAATTATGAACATAGATGATGGTAATATCTTTTGAAAATATATGATGTTAAATAACATTAACAATTTAATGGTAAGAACATGAATTTTGGTTTATGACTTATATTTAGCAACTTGGATTATCTTTTAAAATGATTTTTTTTTTCCGTTTGTAACTTGTATCGTAATGAACTAGTTATAATATTTACTTTTGTTTCAATGGCTAAGAATTATTTTGTACTAACGAAACTAAAAAATGGCATAACCGGGTTTACCTGGTCCTGGAACTAGAACCGGTTTCCGAGACTGGTTCCAAAAATTTAAGAACCACCTACACCGGTTCCGATTCCGATTCTAACTTCACAGGAATCACCGATTCCGGTTCTGGTTCTAGTTCCGGTTCCGTCGAAATGAGGCGGATACAGGGTACCCGCCTATGCTTGGTGGACACCTCTGTCCATCTCCGTTCCTAGTCGGTCATATTAAGACAAAATCATCGAGTAGGAGTAAGTCTAATAAGTCGACAACAATATCATACGTTGGATTAAAGAACCTTTAGGATTTTATGTTTATCTGTTTGCATATTTATTTGACTTTCACAAACTTAACATGAATATGTATCATACTTTAACGATCATACAAAAAATTTTAGTTAAGAAATTATACAGTAAAGTAATACTAGTCGCGCTTAATTAGTAAAGTTTTATTTATGCAAATGCACCATCTGAGATGTTGGGTTAAGTCCCACAATAAGCACAACCCCGTGTTAAGTTGCCATTATTGAGTTTGGAACCATGAACATGTAACCTATATATTTGTCTCGTAGTTCTTGAGCATGGGCACCAAGGTAAATCAGGAAAATTGAAACAATCACAGTAACATGACGACTTATTCCGTACATATATTGATTTTTTCAGATTCCTTGCACTTTAATTGACTTGTATTAAAAAAATCTGCAATAAGTACAAAATCCAAAAGAACATTTCAAGAATAAACCGAATCATTTGTCTTTGTTTTCTTGTTATGAAGTCGAGATCAATGACAACACAAGCCTATTCTTGAACATGTCACACAAACCGTATTCATATTCAAGACATATATCAATGCGGAGTTTTGTTTACAAGTCTAAAGAGGCATTACGTGTTTTATGAATTAATTTCAAGAAATAACTTTAAATCTTTAATCATTTAACCATAAGCAAACTCTCTGGACAATTTTAAACTACAATGGTTTTTTTAAAATTCAAACAAAGCTACTTATATTCCTCATTGTTTAATAACAAAAGCCTCGAAAACAAACCAAACCCATAATAATATAAAAACTATAATCTATGATCTATTCCCATTTTTCTTTCCTTTCTTGAAACTTTGTTTTGATGATGGATATGGGGTTGCTGTATGTCCACTTTTCTTCCCATCTGCAAATATCATTCACCCATTGTATTAAAATAAAAAGGTATTTAATTGACTCAAAGAAATAAAATAAAAATAAAAAAACTAAACCTGTTTTTTGTGGAGTGTTGGATTTTGCTTTCTTTTCAGAAACTGGTGTCTTGGGTGCACTTTCAGCAGGTCTTTTTCCAGCTTGAACAGGTTTCTTCACAGGCTTCACTTCTTCTTCTTCTTCTTCTTCTTCTTCTGAGTCATCTGAGTCATCCATATCATCATCTGAGTCATCACCACCTTCTGATTCCGAGTCATCTTCTTCAGTTACATCCTTCAAAGATGCTTTTGGCTTACCTTGAGCTGCACCTGAAGGTTAAAACACAGACTTCAATTCTTCAATTCTTCATATTCTAAAATGTTACAAATTCTAAAATCATGATGGGAGTTTTACTTACCATTAGCAGTAAGCTTGATTGCTTCTTCTTCATCATCATCAGAAGAAGGACCTAAAGAAATCCAAATTCATTCAGATATTATTAGAATGATCAGAATGTAAAACAATAGACGATATAAAATCAGTTGCAGTGAAGACTTACCAAAATTATAGTCCGTGATACCAAAAGAACACAGAAGGGTTAAGGAAAAAACGATTAGTATAAACTTAAATGATTAAAAAGTAACAAAGATTAAATTAATCATCAACAAAGGATATTCGTCTGGGTTTCTTGCAAAGTATCCACAGAAGTAAACGCTTCCATCCTTCCAGCCATGAGAAAGCTCCACATCTTTCTCAAATAGCAAATCGAACAAAAGTTGTGGTATACGTTCGGAAGATAAAGTTGCTAGAACGAATTTTTGACCATTGAAGTTAACACGAACTTGGACATTCTCGACTTTTTTCCCATTCTTCACCTCTCCCAAAGCAACCTGAATGAGATAATAGTCCGATTAATAAGCATGTTGTGTTTGAGTTAACTAAATCTGAACTTACAAAGAAACATCAACCTTATTGCTAGAAATTTCTGAATTCGTAAATCAAAAAAAAGTTTATGTGAGTTAATCCAGAGATTAATTTATGAAAAAGTAACAATTTGATGAGTCGAATGTTCCTACCTGAGAGATGTGAAGGAGCTTGAAATCCTCGACTGCGACTTTAAGGGTTTCATTAGGTTTAACCTCAACACCTAGCAAAAACAACAAACTTCGAATTGATTATTTTGCACGCAATAAAAACAAGAAACTAAAACAAGGTTTACAGTAATTGCTACAACACATTGATCGAAGAACACCTAAAAAATTACAACGCTTTTGTAATCAAATACAGACATAAGATGCGTAAAACAAAATGTATTACCCCAAAATTCCATTGCTGCTCGGATGCGATTGGGGGAATGAAAGAATGTTTGTTTGAAAGAGTTGAGGGGAAAAGGCGGATGAAGAGGAGACGTTTGAAAGAAGTATAAATAGGTGAAGTTGCCGTTGAAGGTTTAGGGTTTATCAGAGAGTTTTTGGGAACCTTCTATTCTATTGATTCTAAACCGAATCAATGGCAGGGTGTTCTAAAAAATCGAAACCCAATAAAATTATTATTTAATTATTAAAGATTATAAATTTATAATTGTTTATATTTTGTATTAAAAAGCAAAACTAATTACTTAAATACTAAGGAATGATCATTTTTTTTCCTGTTCGTATACTATGTTTTATGTAGGGCTGTATATCATAAGATAAAACCAAATTATCCGATTGGAAAATATAGATTGGACTATTTGATTCGGATATTTGGATTTTTGATTGGTTTTCAACAAAAACCAAATTATTATTTTGGATTTCGGATTGGTTTTGGTTTATAAAATAAGAACGAAATAGTCCAAAAAACCGAATAACATTTTATTATTTATTTACTTTTTATATATTTGTAATTAATTATTAATTTTATAATTTATTTTTCAAAATGGTTCAAAAAGTTTCACCTAATAACAAACATAAATTTGCATTTTCTCTCAAAAGTTTTTTTTCTATAAAATATTAAACTATAATATATTTTCTTAGTAGTTGTTTACAAATTTCAAATCACAACTAAATAATTTGTTTTTGTTTGTAGTGTAAAATTGGGTAATATTATAATTATTTTTCGTTTTAAAATGTTTTGGTTGTTGAAAACTAAATTATTAAAACCGATCCAACCGAATTGTAATTGTATCGGATCCAATCAGATTTGAATTTATTTTAGACTATTCAGATTAATGTTTGGAAAACTGAAATCAATTTGGATTCACTTGATTGGATCGAATCAAACCGATTCATCCAAACGAACACCCCTAGTTTTATGAACGGTTAATTTCAACAATTACTTCAAGTAGTTGAAATCGAACAATTGTTAAACTACAATAGTTTTTTCTATAATTCAAATACTAGAAAAACTATGAGGATCGTTGTTATACCCTTTTTTTTTTCTTTCCGTCTACAAATATCATTCATGTAGCCTAATGGTTTAGATCTTCAAACCATATCTGACACCAAGAACAATGACCCCATTCTATGTCTCATTTTGTTTGAGCTGTTCATACTATTTTTTTTTTGTTTGAGCTGTTCATAATAAGGTTATACCACCGGTATATATATGGTTGCCTGTTAAAAAACTAAGGGTCATGAAAAGGTTCAAATCTAAAACCCCAAATGAAGAAACTATTAGATGCTATGAAGGAGTTATGCATCCTCAAAAATGAGGACAAGTCTACAAACCCAATCAAAGGATAGTTAGCAAATTCAAAATCGAAAATTCATAAGCAACAAGTCAATTTGATAACAAGAAGTTCAAACTACAAGTTATATTTTGCATAAACATTGATCTCAATTTCATCTTTTGACCAAATTTCTTATGATTTGATTTCTCTTTGATGTTAGTGTTTTTAATTTTGGATTTCTTAAACAACCGTGGTAGCCAGAAACAATCATTAACGAGCATTTAAGTTCAAAACTATCATTCAGCAAACACTTTTTAAAAATATCACACCTTGATACATAACTTCATTAAAACATAGTAACAACATTTTAAATTGAAAAAATGACCAAAATAATTTATAAATACCAATCCAATGAAAGTCAACATAACACTCTCAGTACAAAATTGGGTCAACACCAAGTTTCTTGAATCTCTCAGTGTGTAATATCAAGAGCCCACAAACACACAAAAAACATCATAAAATAACAACGATAATCTATGATCTATTGCCATTTTTCTTTCCTTTCTTGAAACTTTGCTTTGATGATGGATGTGGGGTTGCTGTTTGTCCACCTTTCTTCCCATCTACAAATATCATTTATATCATTCAATAAGTACACATTATTATAAAACAAAAAAAAACGTATTTAATAGATTTCAAGAATTTAAAAAAAAAACTAAACCTGATTTTTGAGGAGTGTTGGATTTTGCTTTCTTTGCAGGAACTGGTGTCTTGGGTGCACTTTCAGCAGGTCTTTTTGCAGCTGGAACAGGTTTCTTCACAGGCTTCACTTCCTCCTTCAATTATATGAAAACATAAATTCAGTAAAATTAACAAAATGTATAGCGAATTTTTTATATTGAAAGAAGTAATTAAATTATGTTACTTTTTTTTCTTCTTCTTCTTCCTCCGAGTCATCTGAGTCAACCATATCATCATCTTCAGAGTCATCATCTTCTTCAGAGTCATCTTCTTCAGTCACATCCTTCAAAGATGCTTTTGGCTTACCTTGAGGTGCACCTGAACATTAAAACAGACTTCAATTCTTCAATACTTCATATTCTAAAATGTTACATATTCTAAAATCATGATTGGAATTTTACTTACCGTTAGCAAGAAAGTTCATTGCTTCGTCTTCATCAGAAGAATCTAAAGACAATGAAATTTAATCAAAGTTTAGTATGAGGGGATTGTTAAACAATTTAGGTCATATAAAATCAGTTTCAATGAATACTTACCACATTCATAGTCTTCATCCGTGAATCCAAAAGAACAATCATGGTTAAGGAATAAACGATTTGTATAAACTTAAGTGATTTAAAGGTAACAAAGATGAAACTATTCATCAACAAAGGATATTCGATTGGGTTATCTGCGATGTATCCGCAGAAATAAACGCTGCCATCTTTCCAGCCATGAGAAAGCTCGAGATCTTGCTCAAATAGCAAATCAAACATAACTTGTGGTGCACGTTCAGAAGATAAAGTTGCTAGAACGTACTTTTGATCATTGAAGTGAGCACGAACAGCGACATTCTCAACCTTTTTCCCATTCTTCACCTCTCCCAACGCAACCTGAAAGATATAATAGTCCGATTAGGAAGCATGTTGTGTTAAGCGTTGAGCTCGTATTTCATATTGAATAAGATTCAGATGTGAAATTTCTGAATTCGCAAATCAAAAACAGTTTATTTGAGTCAATCCAGAGATTAATTTACGAAAAAGGGAACAACTTGATGAGTCGAATGTTCATACCTGAGAGATGTGAAGGAGCTTGAAATCCTCGACTGGGACTTTAAGGGTTTCATTAGGTTTAACCTCAACACCTAGCAATAACAATAAACTTCGAATTTGAATATATTTACACAACAAAAAATCAGAAACAAAAGCACGGTTTACAGTAACTGCTACAACAGATAGATTGAAGAACGCCGAAAAATTAATTCATTTGTAAGCAAATACAGACATAAGATGCATAAAACAAGACGAATATTACCCCAAAATTCCATTGCTGCTCGGATGCGATTGGGAGAATGAAAGAATGTGTGTTTGGAAGAGTTGACAGAAAAAGGCGGATGAAGAGTAAACGTTTGAAAGAAGTATAAATAGGTGAAGTTGCCGTTGAAGGTTTAGGGTTTATCGAAAGGTTTTGAGATCCTTCTGATTTTCGAATTGATTTTGGGCCGTAATTTTTTGGCCTTTTTGTATTGGGCCTGAATGGTAAATAAATATGAGCGTTCATATATTTTCCTTCTAGCCATATTCTAGTGTGCCTTGTGCCATGGTCCATAATCCCCCATTCACTTTCAAACAATGTCACGGGCTGGCTGTTACTTTAAAAGACCTATTTGTAACTACTAAAAAACTATTTGTGTAACTAGGATTTTACCCGCCGCGCGTTGCGGCGACAGTAATGGATTTAAAAAATGAAATCCTTTAGTAGAAAAATAGAAATTTCGGAGGACTTAAGTTGCAAAAATCACTAAAATCAGGGAACAAAACCATGCATAAAAACTTAGAAAGACGTAAGTTGCCAAAACATAAAAGTCAGGAAACAAATCCATGTTAAGCAAAATGCTTAAAAGTAAGCATGAGAACGTAAAAAATATTTACATCAAAACGTAAATAAACTCGAAGCACCAAAACATAAAAAACAATTACGTCGAAACGAAGCTAAACTGAAATTTATACCAATATGTATATAAAAAAAGCAAGTAATTTAAAAAAAAAATTAGCAGGCGAAATTTCTAAATCTACGTCAAAACGTGGTCCACCTCGAATTTATACCGATACATATATAAAGTAACGCATATTAAATTAGTTTTTTTTATAAATAAATTAACAAATTTTACAAACTTAAAATTTGTAGGGTTTAAAATGACATTTAGGGGGATGAAAGCGACATTTTAAAAAGTAGCGGGTGGAAAATAAAAGGGATGAAAGTAATATTTTAAAAAGTCAAGTTAAGGGAGTAAAAACATTTGAATAACCTAGCAGAAGTACATTACAATCAAACAGTATAGCATGCGTACGACATATGTTTGATAATAGGTTTACCTTGGTTATGCTATACAGGTACTTTAATTATGGTTAAAAGTATTATATAAACTATGTTTCTGGTTAAGTTTGCAGGTTCATTTGGCTATGGAATACTTAGAAGTTTGAGAGATTGTGGAGATGTTGGTCTTGAAAGTGCTACGTAGAGTTGACCATGGCCAAAAACAGGTTGTGGAAGATAGATGCCTATTTTCTTTAGCGATTGCCATTGACTTTTGTTTAATTATGGTTAAAAGTATTATCTATTTCTGATAAAAAGTCCGAATAAACTATGTTTCTGGTTAAGTTTGGAGGTTCATTTGGTTGTGAAATAGTTAGAAGTTTGAGGGATTGTGGAGATGTTGCTCTTGAAAGTGCTACGTAGAGTTGACCATGGCCAAAAACAGGTTGTGGAAGATAGATGCCTATTTTTTAGCGATTGGCCTTGACTTTTGTTTATTGTCATTGCATAACAGAGTTTCAACGGGAATTGTTTCCTTTTCAAAGTAAACGGAAGCTCGTTATATGTATGCGTCAAAGTGATGTGGGGTATATAAACTCTATAGCCAATTGCTGTTCCATTCATTATCTGTGCCTCAATGACTCTTGATAAAAGTTGTGTAATTATCAATCTTGTTCTGTTGCATAGGCCATAAATTGGACTAATGTTACGCATAAGTATAACGGGAGCATTGATCTTCAATTCGAGTTGATGTGGTGGTATACCGTTGAAGTTTAAATTACCTGCTGGTGATGGTGAGGGAAAGCAATTTCATGTGAAAGACCCTTGCTATAATATCGGGACGATCTTCAGCTTTTAACGCTGGAAATCTATCCATGTGTCTACAAATTTCTGGCCATTTGACATTACATGTAAATGTAATGAAGTATTGTGGATTTCCATGAACTCTGCATATCGCCAATGCATCTTGATAATGTTTATACATATAGCGAGGACCGCCAGTAAATGTCGATGGCAAAAAAATTCGTTTGCCGATGTCTTTCCCCTTACTATCACCACGCATAACCGCATTATGTATACCCTGAAGGAATTCATTCCGAAGGGCATTTTGATTATATCGAAAATAATTAAGTCTATCTTGTTCTATGCAAGCATACGCATCAACCATGTATTGTTGAAAAAGGCGACCGCCTCTTAGGATCAAAGTATACAGATTAAGTCGGTCGTGTAATTGGTAGCTATAGAACATGTTCATTGTTATTTTCTTATCTTTCGCTTGCTCGTCACCAGTTAGGCGTAGTTTATGAGACCAACCGCTTTCACCATGTATAAACAATAGAGGATATTGCAAAGGCATGTACAAAGGATGTAGAGTGTTTATTCTTTGAGGTCCGTTGACCCTGTGACGTATAACAATGTCGTAACCGTCAGACTCGGGATCTAAGTCACTCAAAATTGCACCTATACAGCCTGGAGTAGGATTACCATAACGCGAAGAGTTATAGGAATTGTATAGCCGAATTGAAAAAGTCGGTATATCAGAAGAACGACAAAGGTCACGTGCGTTCCTAAAAAGTCTAACCAGTTTATTAGTATTGTCAAGAATTTGAATAAGTAGAGTGACAATGCCAGAGTTTAAGGGTGTTCGGTTTTCATTAGCAAAGAAGCTCATCCTATTAGATATCTCGTTTTCAGTGTCGTATATATACATTTGCAAGAACCGGGGGCGTTCATTAGGTGGAGGACAATACGAACCAAGCCGATGGTAAACCCGACCTTCAATTTTGAAAACGTATGGACCAGAGCCAATGTTTATAGACTCGTCAACTTTTGCACCAAAAGATGTCATCGCAAACATACTGTTGTAAGCACGTATATCGGCAAGAAATTCAGGTTGATCGAATAAAGTCACCAACGACGGAGGAGGAATCATAGAAAATGGAAGTTTGACCTGACCGTTTTTGCAACAATGATTATACCGTGCTCGATTGGATGACACTGCACTAACACGCTCATCGTACCAAAATAAGGCATAGCAATGTTCACACACATAGGTACAGTCACCATTGTCTATGTATAAAGAATCAGTAGGATGGTTGCTAGACGATGCAATATGTTCACCGACTGTATAACGTCTCTTTCGTGATGGAGGCATAGATAAGATAGTTATGAAAAGAAAGTGTTTGCTGGACTGAAATTAGATCAAGGCACTAATACATGATAAAGCAAATCATAAACGGTTAAATAACTGAAAATACAAAAAATAAACCTTTAAACGAATAGTTTACTACACCATACAACAACAGGGTACCTGCGGAAAATAGAATAGCAAAAGCAAAAAAATAAGAAGCATATTATGGGTGTTTACATTAACGAAGAAAAAAAGTTTGTTAGATGGTCTGTAAAGGAAATTGTCCATGCCAATTTGTTACTTCCCTGACTGTATCATAACAGTTTTTTATCAACTTTTTCCATATAAGTTTTATAAACAAAGGACATCAGATGAAATTTAGTAGATAGTATTTTACCTGTAACTTTTACCATAGTAAAAACTAAGATTTGGTGCACACACTTTCAAAAGCTATATTTCAGAGGTAAAAAGTGTTTACTTTTTTAATCAGAATTGGTGCCCCTTTATGAATAGTAGAACCTGAAAACCTTAGGGCTCTTATAGAGGAAGAAACCTTTTTTTGGACGAAAGACAAAAATATCATAATAGTGGGATATGGACAACAATATATGTATTAATTTTGAGAACAGGAGGATGACAACGATAGTCAACTTTTTTATACATTTAGAATCAATCCAAAAGGGATATTTTTTTCAGTGATAAATACGGTATGAACCAAAGAGAAAACTAATAAGCCGAGTAAAATCAAACAAAACAACATCATAATAGGAGGATGCGGACAACAATCTGTCTATTAATTTTCACAACAGAACGATGACGAAAGAAGAAAGTGATAAATAGGGTATTAAGTAAAAGTCAAGTTTTTTTTTTTACTTTTAGAATCAATCCAAAAAAGAATTCTTTTTGTCAGCGATAAATAGGGTATGAACGAAAGAAGAAAGTGATAAGCCAATAATACAAATGGGAAAGCATACTAAATAAGCCAATAATACAAATGGGAAAGCATACATGTGCAGTAAATAAGCCAATAATACAAATGGGAAAGCATACATATGCAGTAAAATCCAGAAAAGGTAAACGGATTGGTGTTGGATAGCTTCATAAATAGGGCATAAAAAAGACATTATAAGTAAAATTATGAAATAGATACATAAAAAAGGGACATTACCTCGTCAAACAGTTGGAATGGTAAAGGAAAAGTGCAGGTAGAAAGCGCCGATGATTGAAAAAAGGAAGGAAGAAATTTTTACTTATGGAGACAAAGATAAGAAGTAAGAGCGGTCCAATAGGAAGAAGATTTAGGTGGTGTTTGTTTTTTGTCTGCAGATCTGCATGGCCTCTTCTGTCTGCGCCGCGCAGACATTAGCTTTCGCAGACTGTTTGTTTTTTTGAAGACTGCAGACCTAAAAATGTATGCGCGCCCTCTTCTTGGCGCAGATGTGGACCAGAGTCTTCTAACATCTTCAGACATCTTCTAGCCTAAAAAAACACATATATCTATATTTTTTTAAAGTTTTTTTTTCTAATTTATATTTTTTCCAAGTTTATTAATGATAAACAATTTGAAAAAAAATTACAAAACTTAAAAAAAGAAAAAAAAAACGTTCGACGATACAAACATGATATTTTTGACAAATTTATAAATAAAGATTTATTACAATAATAGTCGTTGAAGTTGTTTATATAAATACGAAAAAAAATCATAATATATTCTTATATTTTTTTGCTAAATTTTTCTAAAACATTATTTAATACACTATCGTCAATTTCTCGAGAAAATATTTATGCTACGTTTTTAATGGATTTAACTGAAAAAATCGAGGTTTATTTCCATCCATTTATGTATCAATTTCTTTGATCCTTAATTATAATATTTAGTTATAACTTTGCAACCAAAGTTGTTGGTTTTTATCAAATATATACGTTAATTCATACCATTTTTATTTTTATTTTTTATACAATAATGCATAAAAGTTGATATAGATTTGTTAATTATTTATAACAAAGTCATAAAAAAATTAAAAAAACACTTTGAAGTTTAAATAAATCAGTTTATTTAGATTTCAGTTTATTTTAGTAGCCCGCAGATGTTAAAAAAACAAACAGTCTTTTTTTTCAGACTGCAGACGTTTGGTCCACATCTTCTACTGCAGAGGTCTACAGATGTGGTTCGCAGACTGCAGACATTTTGCCTAAAAAAAACAAACAGCACCATAAGGTCGGCTATATTAGTATTAGAAGGAAAGGATTGAAAATGAAAATTAAGAAAAGTAAAAGGTAGAGAAAAGAAAAAAGAAGGCAACCGACATTTGTATTTAATATAGATATAATGTAGTTTTGGACCCTCATCTTCACACAATTTCTCACCTTATTTTAAGTTATATTATTCAACATAAAATTATTTTAATTTTTGAATGTGTTTATTATTTTAATAATAAATAATATTATGAAAGTTATTATAAACAATTCAAATATATTTTATATAATTTCAAAACTATTTGGTAAATTTCAAATAAATATTATTTTGTGTTACATTGTTTATAACCAAATATTAATAAATTATAAAGCTAATCATTAAAATTAACAAATCTATTAAAACTAACTAAAGAAATAACAATCGTCTTGGAAAATTTAACAAAATGAATATTTTGTTCGCTAAATTAAAATTTTTATTTATTTTTATTTAGTAATTATTATGTTTTTATATAAACATCTTTAAAAATCATATCATCGTAATGATCTTTATATTCGATTTCCATATGATTAAAACTAAATGTTTGATTTAGAATTAATTTACTATTGTATGGTTAATTTCAGTTTATCTCAGCAACCTGTAGACGTAAAAAACAAAAGGACTTCTTATTGCTTCCAAATGATTATATTCACTTAATTCGTTAATTCAAGGCTCCACTCCTCAAATCTGGACCTTAAAAATACAATAATGGATAAAGTTGGACATTCCAAAGATGTAAGATTTAAACTTTATTAATCCATATAACCTAAAAGACCAAGATAACTTGCATGTCTTAATGCGGAGGCAAAAGATCCCAACTTTATCAATCCAAAAGGTCCAAGGGACATTCCTAAGTGTTAAAAAGGTGTTAGAGTTCCTTCAACTCCAAGATCATCAACAAAATGGACCAAAATGTGCAAAATACAACAAATAACAAGATCTAGCAATCCAAATAGCATGTTACGAACTTTATACTCACAATGTTCCAGAAATGAAGTAACTTTGATGGATCTATACTTGCTATTTCCTTCAATGACACCATGAGAACTTCAAAATCTTCATACTTCACTTAAAAATGGGGAAATATGCTCATAAACCCACCACAAGCTCAATAATGAGAGAGAAAAAGTTAGGATTTCTATAAAATCACCGAAAGGGTTATGGAGGCTAAGATTTGTCGAATCTTAGGGGTTAATGACCTTTAAATACTCCTAAATCCCTAATAAAGAGATCAGCCCACTGGATCGGAAGCATCACACTTTTTAAGAGGCGCTCTACGTTTCTTACGATTAATTATAGATTTTCAGATTTTTCAGCAAATGCAATAAATAACTCTCTGATTTTCCCTATCCTTCTACTTCCTTATGGACTACAAACCCTCAATTAAAGAGTGGAAAAACATAATTGAAACTCGGGTGTTTCATGAAGCATTTCAGTTGAATAGTGTATCATTAAAGGGATGTTATGTAGATATACAGAGGATACTACATGTACGATCTCAATAAGTTACAGGAAAATATGATATAGGGTTAGGGGTGTGTATGGGGTGGTTTGGTTCGGTTATTATCCAAAATTGAACCGTAACCATTATAAGTGGTAAATGCATTTTAGTAGCCATTAGGTATCGGTGAATTTTGATTTTGGTTAATAGGTTTAGTCAATTAATGGTTAGTATATGTTATCCATAATAGTCGCAAATGACATAAAAATAAAAAACAATTTGCTATAAAAAGTGAAAAACATAAAGTACATTGCTATAAAAAGTGAAAGATTTATTGTATAACTACATTAATATGATATATCACGTATCCCATCTAATTCCAAATAATTACCCTTTAAAAATTCAATTTCTAATATAATTACATATCATATGTTTACTATGTTATTATATTAAAAGCATTTATTAATATTATTGGTTCCGTTTATAATGGTTTGGTTTTAGATGAAAACCATAACCAAACCATATGTATTTGGTTAATAAAAATTATAAACCGCACCACCTCTTTTAGTAATGGTTCGGTTATATCATTTAATTTGGTTTTAGTTTGGTTTTTTGGTTAATATATTCACCCCTAGATAGGGTAAAATCATTTAGGGTTTAATACTAAATAAGGATAACCAACCAAAACGTTGTTCAACCAACTTCTTCATAATATCGTTTGGATGGTAAAATTCTTGAAATTTTTTACTTTTCTTGATTACAAGTTATGATTGTTAATCACCAAGGATTTTCATCTACATAATTAAGACTTTTAAAGGTAGGGAATATACATATGAAGTGACTTAAAAGAGGAAAGTGAAATTGCAATCAGGGTCGGCCCAAGGGTAGGGCAACCTGGGCCACTACTCAAGGCAGTAATATGGTATGGAATAGCATATCAAGTCCAATTATTATAGATAAGCATGCTTAAATGTGTACGGCAAATGAACGATTATCTTTATAGGGAAGACAAATTTTTGAGCAACAAAAAAAGATGACACACTTATAAAAAAGCAACTTGCATGTCAGTTACGCCTAATTTGAGGAGTCGTGATGTGACATCCCCATTTTCACGGCCAGAAAACACCAGTTTGTGCTTATTTTAAAATAAGAGTTTTTAATTTACAAATGCAGAATTTGTCCCATAAAATATTCCCGAAAGAAAGTTTTTCATTGATTTATTAAAAACTCAGGATGTCATAAATGATACAAGAAACATAAGTATAAACGAAGACTTACAACATCTTAATATAGTCTAAAGTTCCTTAAATCTCTCAGCCATCATCATTATTGTTTCCTGTGATACAAAGACGTTGAGTGGGTCAGATTGGGAATCCCGGTGAGATACATATGGTCATTTTCAACCCACGATATTATAAGTTTTAGTTATATAACCATCAACATTCAAGAAAACCAACTACCCCATTTCCCATCACTCTCACTTACTAATCCTATTATAATGATCTTGAGGGAACTTTCCTAAAGGATCTTTATTAGTAGGCAACTATAATTCCTAGGTGATTAGGCACGACAGTATGATAATAACCGCGACAAGACGACAATACGTTAGTACTTTTTATATAATCACGACAGGCACGACAGTACAAAGTACTTGGGTTTAGCACGGCAATACAAAAGTGCTTGGGTTTAGCACGACAATACAAACGTACTTGGGTTTAGCACGACAATACAAAAGTACTTGGGCTAGCATTGTTGCACGATTGATTTGTTACTGGATTCTCCCATCGTGTTATTATATTATCAATTGCACGGTGTACTATTATTTTATTTCTGGCACTGTTGCTCGATTGATTTCCCAACGATTTTAATCTGATTAGCAAGTTTTGTTACATGCCTTTTAAGACTAATAATAATTATGAAGTTCGAAAGCAACCCAATTGACATCAAAAGTCGATCTGTTGTAGGGTTTGTGTTTGTTGCAGTGCACATGTTCATGTGCAGGATGTTGATCTTCCTATAGTCAAATTAGTCTGTTTATTTTAGTTTTCAACATGAATGAGTTATCAATTAAACTTATTTCTGATATCACCATGCTCTACATTGGTCCTTTTACGGTTTTGGTTATATTGATGTTCATAAACAACTTCTTGGTTCCATTAAAATGGATTTAACTCTTGCTTGTAATGTAGTTACTAAATTCTCAGGTTATACAAAGCAAGTTTACTCGACTGTTAGTGATAATACTCGACTCTCTCTGATAAATTTTTAGGATTTCTATGATGATCTCTTCGAGGAGTTGAACAAGTATGGGGAAATCGAAAGCTTGAATGTTTGTAACAACCTTGCTGACCATATGGTAAATCTCTTACCCTACCCAATACCTACCTTACATCTCCTTAAACCTCCTCTAATAATCCTTTCCCTTATCAGGTAGGAAATGTATACGTTCAGTTTAGGGAAGAAGAATACACTGCAAAAGCCCTCAAGAATCTCACTGGAAGATACTACGCAGGTATGCTCTTCTTTTTCATTTCTCATATCAAAATCTTCTTATTTCATATAAACACCTCTAAAAGACTAAAAACACTCTTCAGGTCGACCGATCATTGTTGACTTCTCACCTGTGACTGATTTCCGGGAAGCAACTTGCAGAAAATATGAATAAAACACCTGCAATCGTGGTGGATACTGCAACTTCATGCATCTAAAAAGAATTGGAAGGTTATATGATCATATCCCCTCTCTCTCTCTCTCTCTCTCTCTCTTTTTCTCTCTCTCATTCTTCTGTCTTTTTTGTTTATTTTTTTAGGGAATTACGGAGAGGCCTATGTGGTAGGTATTGAAGAAGGCATAGTCGGAGTAGAAGTAGGAGTAGAAGTCCAAACATACATTGAAGCTATGAAGAGCGAGGGCATTCTGGGCCACTACTCAAGGCAGTAATATGGTATGGGGTAGCATATCAAGTCCAATTGTTATAGATAAGCATGCTTAAATGTGTAAGGCGAATGAAAGATGATCTTTATAGGGAAGACAAATTTCTTAGCAACAAAAAAAGATGACACACTTATAAAAAAGCGACTTGCATGTCAGTTACGCCTAATTTGAGGAGTCGTGATGTGACATCCCCATTTTCACGTCCAGAAAAGACCAATTTATGCTTATTTTAAAATCAGAGTTCTTAATTTACAAATGCAGAATTTGACCCATAAAATATTCCCGAAAGAAAGTTTTTCATTGATTAATTAAAAACTCGGGATGTCATAATTGATACAAGAAACATAAGTATAAACAAAGACTTACAACATCTTAATATAGTCTAAAGTTCCTCAAATCACTCAGCCATCATCACTATTGTTTCCTGTGATACAAAGATGTTAAGTGAGTCAGATTGGGAAACGTGGTGAGATACATATGATCATTTTCAACCCACGATATTATAAGTTTTAGTTATATAACCATCAACATTTAAATAACCCAATTACCCCATTTCCCATCACTCTCACTTACTAATCCTATTATAATGATCTTGAGGGATCTTTCCTAAAAGATCTTTATCAGTGGGCAACTATAATTCCTAGGTGATTAGGCACGGCAGTATGATAATACCCGCGACAACACGACAATACATTAGTACTTTTTGTATAATCACGACAGACACGGCAGTACAAAGTACTTGGGTTTAGCACGACAGTACAAAAGTACTTGGGTTTAGCACGGAAGTACAAAAGTACTTGGGTTTAGCACAGCAGTACAAAAGTACTTGGGTTTTGCACGACAGTAAAAAAGTACTTGGGTTTAGTATGACAGTACAAAAGTACTTGGGTCTAGCACGACAGTATAAATGTACTTGAAATAGACACGACAGACACGAGTTATTATCTTACACGACTCTCTCTCTCTAACCTATCGCAACCACTATTTTACACAATCCTATCACAACCTCTCATTTATTATTTTACATAGCCCCTCACTACCCAATCATATTATTAAGTATGTTAAACATACCAATAAATCAAGTAGTAAACATATTTGTACAACTACATTAAACAAAACAAAGATAGCGCACATAACAGTTAATCATTTAGAATACTTAGATTTATGCGTAAGCTTGAAAGTAACTATGCTCTCACTTCTTAAAGTGATGACTCGAAATTCGGGCAGAGCTTCACTTCTAGCAACTGACATTTCCTTTGACGTGACCTAGTATCATTATCACTTAGTCTTAGTCTAATATTCTACACGGCTAGATAGAATCTAGACTTATCAATCATTCTAATGAATACTGATAGTTCTATCAAATAAGGATCAGCCATGCAGGACAGTCAGGAGGCAAGAGCATTTCGGCATAATAGTTTTTCTGAAATCCAACAACCAAGCCAACATGACCATTCTAAACACCTCTCCCATAAGTAGATCAATCAATATAACGACATGTAATAACAAATAAATCTTATTTATAGGTTCATAATGATGACTTATGACTATAAATATAAGTTACACAGAAAAGACTAGAGTGTAGCTTAACTTACAGAGGTTCTTTCTGACAGAAGTTAGAAAATTGAACTGGCAGAGCTTCTACTCACCAAATTCTACTTCTTCAGGGATCGCATGGCTTCGTCGAAGGCTAAAACTAAGGGAAATGGGCTAAAATCGAGAGAATTTAGAGAGGGGGAGAGAGAGAAGGATGGGGAGTGAGGAAGCAAATAAGCAATCAGAGTCTATTTATAGAACAACTGCACGCCGCGCCTAGTGTGCGCACCGTACACAACTGAGACGTTGCTCCTCCCATTTTCTACCATGTGTCGCAAATATGGCGGTACATGCCCCAACTTCTAGAAGGCGTGTGCCGTGCAACTCACCTGCGCGTGGCGCTTCTCGTAAAAATTCAGAATATCGTATCTTCTTCATATGAGCTCCGTTTTGATGTTCTTTTTATCCCTGGAAAGTTCTTGATGAGATCTACAACTTTCGTTTAGACTCTGTCGGCTAATTTTGACTTTATTTTTAAAGTTATATTTTTAACAGGCTTAGACTGTTAAAGTCCATTAAAAATTCATAACTACCTCATATGATATCCGTTCTCGACTGTCTTTGTATCGACGAAACCATATGGACGAGATCTTCAACCCTCGTTTAGATTGCTTTTCCTAACAATCAACCGAGTTTTACTTTGGTTTCTGAGTCGTATACTGCTACGCTGAAACTTCTAAAAATCATAACTTCCTCTCACGAAGTCAGATTTAGATGATATCTATATGCACGAATTCGCTTTTATGATATCTACGACTTTTATTTAGATTACTAAGGCTAATAAGTAACATATCTCCAACTCACTGTTTACGACATATACTATAACTCGGTTAAGATTATTTATCCTAAACAATCTCTTATTTAAAAGTCATTATTATGGCTTATAATAACTTTATTGCATAGCCCGAATTTACGGGTGTTACAATTATCTCCCACTTAGGATGATTACGTCCCAAAATCATCAACAAAACATGGCTTGTATACTGACGCCGCATGTTACCTTTCCATCCTAGGTGGTAATTGTAACTCCCATGTCCTCCTATTGATAGATTCTTGTCTCTAAGAGTCCAATGCCTACTCCTGAAGGTACCTTCCTTCATGTTCTAACATGGTACTACCACATCTTTGTAGGTAGCTTTCCTAGTTATCGGCTACTTAGTCTTGATGATTGCGATCTGTCTATCGATTGCATCGATCCTTTACTAATTCAATCTTTGACTAAAGTCGGATATTATGTCGAAAATTCCTCGTAGATTAGTCGGACTTGATTTAATATGACCACTAGGGTCGGAACATGAATCATCACCGAAACAAAGGTGATGATGGAAATGAACAAAACAGCTCAACTACCAGATTTAGCAACTTTGTGACTTTCCTTGATTCAAGTGTGAGTCATGTGCTTCCGGTAGTATAGGCCTCTACTGCCTTTCACACCTACTCATACTCGTCCCAAGTATTGTCTCGCAGTTCACTAAGTTATTGTAAAAGAAAAACACATAGAAACTCAATGTATAACATAAATTAGGAAATTATATTTATACTTGAATAATTATTCATGCCTATTACATCGGGCTACTCGATCTTATACTATCTAAGATACGACTTTCTCCCTTGCCTTCTTCAGGCGTCATCGACTTCACCTTTTTCTGCATCCAAGATCATATGATATGCCCTTGTCTTTGGCTTAGGCGGGATATTTGCAACTTCTTTCTTCTTTGGGTAGTCCTTCATGACATGCCCTTCTTCCTTACATTCGAAGCATACTCTTCCTTCATACCGACACTCAGCAGAATAGTATTGGCACTCATCAGAATAGTGACCAGGTCTTCCACACCTGTAACAGGTCACTTATCTCTTGAATTGGCCAACATGTTTCCTCCTGCATTTATTGCACCATTCGCCTTCATCACTACCTCCATAATTTTTTTCGCTAGGGTCAGACCTTGTGATTTTATTTTTCTTATCGGACTTAGAGAGTCCTTCTCCTTTCTTTTTCTCACCAACTTCAGTCGTGTCAATGGTTCTCTGCTTGATCATATCCTCCACAAACCTTGTGGCCCATACTGCTGCTTCGAAGGTAGGTGCCTGCTTAACCGGCACAGTGTACTCCCAAGGTAGCGCTTTGGCATAACAATCAATCTTGGCTAGTTCGTCCGGAACAATTCGTAGAGCAAACTTCATCTTGTCGGTGAAGGCATTGGTGTATTTCTCCACAGTCAAACTTCCATTCTTTAAGTTCAGGAATTGGTTCTCTAGTTCCAGTATGTTCTTAGCAGAACAATACTTCCGCTTTAAATGCACCAGGAACTCTGTCCATGTCAGTTACAATGGCTCATTTGGGCTTATTATCTTTCCTAATATGTTCCACCAACGAACAGCCGAGCCCTTAAACTGTCTCACCTCATAGGTAGTTTGCTACCTTCCTGTGCAATCACAGGTGATGAAAGTCTGCTCCATCTTCAAAATCCAGTCCATAACTCCCACCAGGTCTTCTTTTCCGGTGAAGGATGAGGGCTTGCAAGTCATGAAGTCCTTATACTTGCATTTGTTCCTAGCAGCTCCTTCATCCAGGTTGTTCGTCCTAAATATTTGAGGTTCTACTTGACTAATGGTTATGCTATAGTTCCCTTCCTCTGACTGACCTTCATTCAATTTGGGATGCTCAATAGGCACCGTGGGTTCTTTTCCATTTTCCCGGATCAGCTGCCTCATTTCCTCTTTTTGCTCGGCTAACATAGCTCTAAGCATTTCCATTGTCACAGGCTCAACTATCGGCACTGCTTCAGGCGCATGCTCAACTACTCGGGGCTCAGGTTGACGATTCTCGTTATCATTTCCTATTCCACTACGTGTCCTCGCCATGACGTTCTATACACCGAAGCAGGCATTCAGTGTATAGTGACGATAATATAGATAGGGAAGATAGATGTATAAATCTCCTTATCACTCCAAAAAGTTATATGTCAATTCTAATACCGTAATTAAACGTTTAGAAATCTGAACACATAAAATTTCCAGATCCGGTCGACAATAGACCATAGATTCGAACATCCTAAAGCATCTAAAGGCATACTATAGCATCCTAAGGCAGATTATAGCTATAACATGTATAAATCATTTAGCACATAGAAGCAA